CCCCTCTGAGCCACCAGTCGGTGGGACGCACAGCCACCCTCCCACTCCCGCCTCGCCGACTTGACGTACAAAAGTACTCCCCCTCCACGGACTGGCTTGCGGTCACTCCCTCACACTGCCCGTTGTGTACTCACTCCTACCCGATTAAAGCCAATCTATTCCACGGCCGTATCATTGCTACCTACGCTACCTTCATCGGCACTAAACCGCTGTTCAGCAGCAAGAACAGCAATAACATTAGACCTGATAGCTTGTGCTACCAGGTCGGTTGCCGTGTTCCTCCCTTAAGTCAATGTGACCTGACCTGACTAGGTTGGGTGCATTGGCTTAAGCCGGTAGGAGACTTGGACCTGCCTCGCATGGGCCAGTAGGCCTTCTGCAGTGTTCCTTCGTTCTTATGTTCTTATGTTCTAGACAGCCTGTACTCTCTGCACAGACAGCCCATGCTGTCTGCCAGCTTAGTTCATATTTTGCGCCATGCTGGTGCTGCCACCTATAGGCGTTGCCACTTCAGCCTGCCTGCCCTTGCCACGCTCTCACTCACACAGCGGCCTAGCAGAAAGACACAAGGCCTACTCCTAGCTCTCTCTCGTGGGCATGGCCCTCCCAGGCCATGGGCACAACACACAAGCCTGTGTACCCACCACGACTTAAACAATAAAGTAAGAAGCCTCCGAAGACGTATCATTTACTCCCCACTACCAGAACACTAAATAATCCTTTTATAAATGGTGGAAAGCGGTGGTCGCAGCAGTGTGTTTGCCCTGAGAGAGGAAGGAAGGAAGGAATGAAGTTGTTCACTTCATCCCCCTACACAACAAGCATCCATCTCTCAACGAGTTATTCTGACGTCGTGTCTGCACGTATGAGCATCCTGACACAGGTACAAGCAGGATCCAGCCGAAATTTGCCGAATTTCTTCGAGAATTGTAAGTGGTGTCCCAGTGACCCCACACTGCAGTGTCCCACGCTGTTTCTCAAGTCACGTGTTCAGCGTTACTTGTATGTTGCTGTTGTTGTTCAGCTCAGCACAGCTGTTTAAGCAAGCCAGAGGTGAGTTTTGTGGCGATTTTTGCGTTCAGTGTGAGTTCTCCACGTGTTTGTGGGAGGAGGAAGTGGCCGCTCCTTGCCTCGCCCTGCTGTACTCTCACACCTCACCAGCCTACCATACACCACTCACCACTGCCCACTCCTCTGCTGTGTTTTCTGTTGTTTTTCGTGTGAATTCATTGCCAGAGCTGTGTATCTGAGTGTCCGAGGCCACTCGAAGCTACGTGGATCAGCATACCACGTAGATCACGACGCCACGTGGATCACGATGCCACGTGGGTGTGGGCGATGTCACGTGGATCTACAAACCACGTGAGTTACCGAGCCAGATGTCCCAGGCCACATGCTGTGGTCTGCTGCCCACATCATATTGACATCACCGATGCTGCTGCTCGACTTCATGACGTCACGATGTCTGCTGACGTCACCTCGCGATGTCTGCCTGACGCCACCTAGAGATGTCTGCTGACGTCACAGCGCTGCTGACGTCATCACGTCTGACATCACATGATGTCACCATCGAGTGTTCAGTAATTATTTCAGAATTGTCGAGAAGATTGATAGAAAATATTTGTCGTGTGTTAATTAATTCCTCTCAGTCAGTGTTCTCACATTTTAGTATGTGTCTTAGTGTCAGTCTTGTGCACAGAAAAGTATCATTTGCTAGTTAAGCCAAATTGTACCGCATATACCGCGGGTGTGTTTAAAGTTTCCGTGTGTCCAGTGAGGTCTGAGCCATACCTGACTAGCGCCACTGTGCTAAGTCACCCGTGTGACCAGTGTGTTTGACAGCTGATTACTCAGCCCCGAGCGACCGAGCCCTCTTGTACAGAAAGCTTTTATGCTCGTCGCTCGTGATGTTCTGCAGAATCGTACCTACTATGATTCCCATCGAGATTTGTTTCACTTCACCTCCAGACCTTCAGAATGCAGTTATATGTAGAGAAACAAGTCTGGGGACGCTTAGACTAACCTCTGCTATAACTCCAACTGTCGAGAGAATGACACACTGTGTCAGCCTTGTGTCACAAGCTTCAGTGTGCAGCCTGCACAAAGATGTCACTTTAACTGCTAGCTCTCTCACTGCAGTCTGGTGTATGATGTTACGACTCCCAGATGTTTCGCCCAGTCGTCTCTGCCACGACTCGCTCCACAACTCGCTCCACGCTCGCCGGTAGTGACAGCCCAGCGACAGTACCAGTTGAGAAGTGTCCTCCTGAGTCGCTGCCAGAAGTCCTGCCCAGTTGCCGAGTTTTGTCGACGCCTCACTCGAGGGCACCAGCATGTCGTGCCCCAGGTTGAGTGAAAACCTGCAGCGACTCCTACGATGACTGCTTCACCGTTCCAGAGGAGACCATACCCTGTTACGTCACAGCTCAGCCGCAGCGATGTCTCCCGTGTTGCAGTATCTGTCCAGACGCAGGAAGGCATGCAGTGATGCCCATCAACTCTCACTGCCTTTGACCACGATGTGTAGCACACCCCACATGTTTTTTCTTCCCTCCCTGTAGGAAGTTTTTTTTCCATATTCGTATGTATATATATGTTTTTATTTTGTGTTTTGTGCCCTGTTCCTACGAGAGAGAGACCGAGTTTCTTTTACCACCAGTATTGTCGCGTCGGGACGATGCGCGGTAGGTGGCCGAGCGTATGTAGACAGCCTGTACTGTCTGCACAGGCAGCCCATGCTGTCTGCCAGCTTAGTTCATATTTCGCGCCATGCTGGTGCTGCCACCTATAGGCGTTGCCACTTCAGCCTGCCTGCCTTTGCCATGCTCTCACTCACACAGCGGCCTAGCAGGAAGACACAAGGCCTACTCCTAGCTCTCTCTCGTGGGCATGGCCCTCCTGGGCCATGGGCACAACACACAAGCCTGTGTACCCACCACGACTTAACAATAAAGTAAGAAGCCTCCGAAGACGTATCATTTACTCCCCGCTACCAGAACACTAAATAATCCTTTTATAGGAGGGGGTAAAGGAGGTTTTGTGTGCGAGGGGTTTGGACTTCCAGCAAGCATGCGTGAGCATGTTGGATAGGAGTGAATTGAGACATATGGTTTTTTAGGGCTTGACGTGCTGTTGGAATGTGAGGAATGAAGGGATTCAGGGAAACCGGCAGGTCGGACTTGAGTCCTGGAGATGGGAAGTAGTGTCAGCACTCGGAAGGAGGGTGCTAATGTTGCAGTTTTATAACTGTAGTGTAAGCACGCCTTTGGCAAGACAGTGATGGAGTAAATGATGGTGATTTTTTTTTCTCTTTCGGGCCACCCTGCCTTGGTGGGAAACGGCCGATGTTTTAATTAAAATAATAGTTACAAAGTGAGAACAAAAATTAGTTATGTTTCGTGTCATATTTCTTCACAAAAGGATAAAAGTTTATACAAGGTGTTGAAATATATTTACCTGAGTTAGAAGGGCCAATGATGTTATTCTTAAGCTACAGAAGTTTCAAGCATGAATAGAGTTACTAATCACGGGAATTGTCATCTCTCAGGATAGCCTATCCCATATACCGGAAAAATAAACTTTTTATGAAGCTCTCTCTATCATCCCAAGGCGCGGGCAAGATCAATTATGCTTAGGATTTAAAGGACGCGCCCACACACACGTACCTTTGACAACTAGTAACTATTACTACACTGCAACCATACATAGGTGAATACACACTCATATAACATACAGTATGCATTTGCATATAACTGGAGCATCACTAGGATGCTAATGAGTGTTGCCAAATTTAGGGTGGATACTGAGGATATCCTCAAGCAAACTAAAACTAGATATTTACACGTTCCAAGTACCCATTCCACCAGGCCTAAAGTCAGCAACAACTGAACGTCAGTTATATAATGGTAAAGGTCATGTGTCTCGTCTTTGTTTTTTTTTTAACAGAGCTTACATGCAGAATAATTAGGGACGGGAGGTTCACCTCCTGCAGTGGCATACAGTCTTCCACAGGTGACGAAGTCCCAACTGATTCTGGCGTTTAAATAAGATAAAAAAAAGGAAAGTAACTCACTTTACGTAGATAAGAGAAGGACTGGTTGAGGAGGGAGGCGGCGCCACTAGCCTCCACAATGCGGCCAACACCATTATTGTCACTCAACTGCATCACAACTCTGGATATGTCTTCCTATATGGAAGAAAAAGACGCTTTTTTTTAATAATCTGTTTCATATATTCAACGACAATACAGCAAGTGGATTTAGGTTGCTATGTGACCTGAGAAAGGTATCCCCGCTTCTCATAAGCCCAGCCCCCTCCACCTTAATGAATGCAAAAAAAAAAAAAAAAGAATATTATATGGAAGTCAATAAATATTAATTAAAAACATAAAACAGGCATATGTAGGTATATGTACCTGCGTTGAACGCATGTATGAACACCAGAGTGTATTTATTTATACACGTACGGATGTAGACCGATGCATACATGTATACCCGTACATATGTTTATCTATGTGTATATATATATGTCGTGCCGAATAGGTAAAATTGGTCAATTAGCAAGAACGCTTTTAAAATTAAGTCCTTTCTAAAATATTCTCTTATATGTTTAAAGAATTTTTTTTTATATTTGTTCATGTAGAAATGAATTATTTTGTACCAAAAGAACCTTAGAAAACTTACCTATCTTTATTATAACAAGCGCAATTTAATTTAGGACAATCCAACTAAATATATTGGAGATAAGTCTACAGTAATTTGATAATAAACAAAACAATGAAATATATATATTTAAAGTTAGGTTCACAATGATTTTTGCGAAATTACTGCATACACAACTTTTGCAAAATTATTGCACAACAATTTTAGTCGTTCAAAGAAAGCATAGTCAAGATATTTCGCAGGAAATAATACCACAATACTTTAAATATTAAACTGGCAAATTGACACTACACACTCCACGGCAATCACAATCCTCTTTCACGTAGAATAAGCGCACCAGAGTTGAACGTTTTAAGCTGTTCAAAAGATATTTTTTTTTTCAATATCTTCCACAAACAAATCCAGGTATGGGATATATGCATATAACTGTACGACTTCAATTAATAGTTGTATAATTCAAATCAGTCACAAACAGGTATTTGTGACCTTACGATGTCTGACCTTGGATCCATTGATAACCCTTGTGGCGCCCATCTTCAATGCCCGGTCCAGTCTTGCGACATCCACGTCCACCCCGTACACTGCTCGAGCACCTGCAACCATTTATAATAATGCAGTTAAATGGATTAGAGAACCGAGAAGTTAATAAATTACACACATGTGCAACACTTGTGTATATTGTGGAATTGTTTCGTCACACAGTGGCTTCATCAGTCTAATAAAAAGAAGAATGGTTAAAGATCAGGATTCTGAGGTAATCAATTTAAGCTAAGAAACAGACCAATTATAGGTTTTTATTTTTATTAATGGAAAAAATAAACCCGTATGGGTTTACTGACATCATCTCGAGATTGGTTCAAATCCGTCTTACTTGTACTGTCTTTCCGGTTATTGCAGAAAAGTCATGCTTTGTTTTATCACAGTTTGTTCTTGAAATTGAGTTTGAATATATCCTAATAATTCTTTTGGATGATTGTTCATCCAAACTGCCTTCCAAGACCTTTGCTATTATAACATTTGCTATATTTTTCCCCTTTATTAAGTGCTTAAATTGTAATCACCCAACAACAGGATGTTTAAATAAGAGTTTGAATGATTTTCAAGGCAGTATTTGAATTTCAGTAGCTGATCTCTTAGCGTTTGATTTTGATTAGATGATCTTTAAACGGCTGAGAAGTTGTATCTGGTGGTTCATACATGAGAACGTTTACTAAATTCGATTGTCAGATTTCCCAGCCAAAACTTCAAGTACATTAATTATTAATGGTTACCAAATACGAGACTATATGAGAAGTGATGAAAGTATTTAGACATTCGTGGCTATTTAATATATATTATATGGAATATTCTAATAATTAATACAATAAGGTTAGTTTGAAAATGAATATTTTTCATAAGTACCCAGTGCCTTGGCGACGCCAATGACGAGGAGTCCTACAGGTCCACAGCCCAACACCAGAACATCTTCTCCTTCCACACTGATGTTCTCTACTGCGTTGTGTGCCACACCTGTACACCACAATTCTCACTCTTAGTACACCAGAGTTGAATAACCCGTACGGATTTAGAGCTTTCTGTGATCATTATAGTCATAGAAAACACAAAACTCGTAAGGGGAATGGGAGAGATTGGCAAATCTCGTTTTATCCCAGGAAGAATGGGGAGCTCTCCCCGAAGGGCGATTTTTTTAATTTTAACTTTCAGCACTTTAAGAAAAAACTCATGATTAGTCTTACTGTACCATAATAAAATATTATATATGTATCTGCATGATTGTTGACTGGGTTCATTTAAATGTATTTCGCCCAATATCTCATACTAGCTGATAATGTAAAGCATATGAGAGATCATTCTAAATCGTCTCATGCATGGAATCAAACAATTCCTGTCTTCTCGGTTGCATGGTTTCATGTATGGAAGGAATGTGCAACATTGCATAATTACATTTCTCACCTTGCATACTGATAGTTCCACCGCTATCTTCCTTGACTTCTTTGATAAGGAACCCCACAGGCAGGTGTCCTCACTCCAACCTTACTCAATGTTCTGATTAATATTTTGCGAAATTCTATTCCTAGCTAGTCCAGTCATGTTTGTTGTGCAACCCATGTGTTGTACGTGTCTTATTTACTCGTAATTACTCACGGTTTGTGTTGTGTATAAAACAAAGTAATCCATGTGTTATATTTTGCTCCTTACTGTAACAACTTGAAAACAATTAAAACATTGCAATTTGAGTTTGTTGAGACTGAAAATTATAGCTAATAACAGGTTATGAGCCTGGTTGATGAGATCCTGATCCACTGCGAGGCCTGGTCATGGACCAGGCAGCGGGGGCGCTGACCCCGGTACACGCTTCAGGTAATGGATTGACTAGATGTTTTATCTACTTTTTCCTTCTTCACATCAAACATGATTAGCCCCCCCTCCCTCCCATGTCACAGGCACGGTATGACCCTTACGGGTTTAGTACTACCTTATTAATAATCCATATGCCTACTTGGTCTTACAACACCTTCCTTCTACTGTTTGTTTCTTCTCCTCATGTGCCCTTTTACCATATTTTTCTCTTCCAACCTGCCCTACCAGCTCTTTCTCCTCCACCTGTGTTCTACCAACTTTCTCCTTCACCTGTGTTCTACCAACTTTCTCCTTCACATGTGCCCTTCTTCCATATCTTTCTCCATCTGTGTCCTTTACATTTTCTTTCTCTTATATCTGTGTCCTATCATCTCCTTTCCCACGTCGGTGTTCCTGTACCATCTTTTTCTTCCATCTCTTTCTTCTCCACCTGTGACTATAATTTTTCCCCTCTATCAGTCTCATGACTATAATAAATGCCATACCCATGGGTTCTAGGAGAACAGCTTGATCAGGTGTGAGGTTCTTGGTGAGTATGAAGCAGTAACGAGCTGGAACACACGAGTACTGGCAGCAGCCACCCTGGTCACAGCCTCGCCCGTGACCATACTGCCTCATCCTCTGACATATATCACCACGACCATCCTGCAACACATTATTATTATAAATTTCCCGGAGAGCGTTTAACCTACAAGGGTCACTCCTCGGTATCTCTCTTAACAATACCAGTGTTCAAGTAGTAACAGAAATATAATATTGATTCCAATATTATTACTACTGTATGACTGGAGAAATACTGAACTGGTTACGATCATTCAGGGACCGGGGAATGAAACACAATCTGGTATGATACGAGAATGGGAAGACTAGCTCTAACTCCTTGGAGCAACAACTGAACTTTAACTATCATTTAGTTAAAACTGAATGTCAGTGGAAGTGTCCCAGTTATTTGCTTGATAAGAACTCCGGTACCTGGCGAAAGTTACCCTAAATGTTAGTTTCAACTTTTCAAAAGTGTTTACTAAATCAAAATTTTCACCTCCACTTCTCGCTGTTATTGTTCTGAGTTGTTCTTATATTGGAGACTTATATTGGAGAAATAACGTAAATACTCTATAACGTATATACTCTATAATGTAAATACTGTATAACGTATATAATCTATAACGTATATACTCTATAACGTATATACTCTATAGCGTATATACTCTATAACGTATATACTCTACAACGTATATACTCTATAACATATATACTCTATAACGCATATACTCTATAACGTATATAATCTATAACGTATATACTCTATAACATATATACTCTATAAGGTATATACTCTATAAGGTATATACTCTATAAGGTATATACTCTATAGCGTATATACTCTATAACGTATATACTCTATAACGTATATACTCTATAATGTATATACTCTATAATACATTCTAATTATTAAAATTATATTATTCATTCAATTTGCTTCTTCCACATTATTTTTTTATTAATAAGAAGTTACACCGGAAACTCAAGATCACTCCCAGACATCCACCTGGGTGCCAAGATACCCACCTAGATGCCCAGACACCCACCTGGATGCCCAGACACCCCACCTGGATGCCCAGACACCCACCTGGATGCCCAGACACCCACCTGGATGCCCAGACATCCTCCTGGATGCCCAGACACTTTCCTGGATGCCCAGACACCCACCTGGATGCCCAGACACCCACCTGGATGCCCAGACACCCCACTTGGATGCCCAGACACCCACCTGGATGCCCAGACACCCACCTGGATGCCCAGACACCCTCCTCGATGCCCAGACACCCACCTGGATGCCCAGACACCCACCTGGATGCCCAGACACCCACCTGGATCCCCAGACACCCACCTGGATGCCCAGACACCCACCTGGATGCCAAGACACCCCACCTGGATGCCAAGACACCCACCTGGACGCCCAGACACCCACCTGGATGCCCAGACACCCTCCTGGATTCCCAGACAAGTACCTGGATGCCCAGACACCCACTTTGATGCCCAGACACCCACCTGGATGCCCAGACACCCCACCTGGATGCCAAGACACGCACCTGGATGCCCAGACACCCACCTGGATGCCCCTACACCCACCTGGATGCCCAGACACCCATCTGGATGCCCAGACACCCACCTGGATGCCCAGACATCCACCTGGATGCCCAGACACCCTCCTGGATGCCAAGACACCCACCTAGATGCCCAGACACCCACCTGGATGCCCAGACACCCACCTGGATGCCCAGTCACCCACCTGGATGCCCAGACACCCACCTGGATGCCCAGACACCCACCTGGATGCCAAGACACCCCACCTGGATACCAAGACACCCACCTGGACGCCCAGACACCCACCTGGATGCCCAGACACCCTCATGGATTCCCAGACAAGTACCTGCATGCCCAGACACCCACCTTGATGCCCAGACACCCACCTGGATGCTCAGACACCCCACCTGGATGCCAAGACACCCACCTGGATGCCCAGACACCCACCTGGATGCCCAGACATCCCACCTGGATGCCAAGACACCCACCTTGATGCCCAGACACCCACCTGGATGCCCAGACACCCACCTGGATGCCAAGACACCCACCTGGATGCCCAGACACTCACCTGGATGCCCAGACACCCACCTGGATGCCCAGACACCTACCTATATAACCAGACGCCCACCTGGATACCCAGACACCCACTTGGATGTTCAGACACTCACCTGGATACCCAGATATCCAGCTAGATGCCCAGACACCCACCTGGATGCCCAGACACCCACTTGGATGCCCAGACATCCTTCTGGATACCCAGACAAGCACCTGGATGCCCAGACACCCACCTGGATGCCCAGACACCGACCTGGATGCCCAGACACCCTCCTGGATACCCAGACAAGCACCTGGATGCCCAGACTCTACCTGGATCTCCAGACACCCACTTGGATGTTCAGACACTCACCTGGATGCCCTGACATCCAGCTAGATGCCCAGACATCCACCTGGACGCCCAGACACCCACCTGTATGCCTAGACACCGACCTGGATGCTCAGACACTGACCTGAATGACCAGACACTTACCTGGATGCCCAGACACCCACCTGGATGCCATGACACCGACCTGGATGCCCAGACACTGACCTGAATGACCAGACACTTACCTGGATGCCCAGACACCCACCTGGATGCCAAGACACCCACCTGGATGCCCAGACACCCTCCTGGGTAACCAGACAAGCACCTGGATGCCCAGACACCACCTGGATGTCCAGATACCCACTTGGATGTTCAGACACTCACCTGGATGCCCAGACATCCATCTAGATGCCCAGACATCCAGCTGGATGCCCAGACACCCACCTGTATGCCCAGACACCGACCTGGATGCCCAGACACCGACCTGGATGCCTAGACACTTACCTGGATGCCCAGACACCCACCTGGATGCCAAGACACCCACCTGGATGCCCAGACACCCACCTGGATGCCCAGATACCCACCTGGATACCCAGACACCCTACTGGATGCCCAGAGGGCAAATGGATGCCCAGACACCCTCCTGGATACCCAGACAAGCACCTGGATACCCAGACACCCACCTATATACCCAGACACCAACCTAGATTCCCAGACACCCACCTGGATTTCCAGATACCCGCCTTGATGCCCAGACACCCTACTGGATGCCCAGAACGCAAATGGATGCCCAGACATCCAACTGGATGATCGGACACCACCTGGATGCCCAGACACCCACTGGTATGCCCAGACACCCACCTGGATGCCAGACACCCACCTGGATTCCCAGACACCCACGTGGATTCCCAGACACCCACGTGGATGCACAGACACCCACCTGGATGCGGAGACACCCACCTGCATGCCCAGACACCCACCTGGATGTCCAGACACCCACCTGGATGCCCAGACACCCACTTCGATACCCAGACACCCTCCTGGATGACCAGCCACCCACCTGGATTTCAAGACACCCACCTGGATGCCCAGACACCCACTTGGATGCCCAGACATCCTTCTGGATACCCAGACAAGCACCTGGATGCCCAGCACCCACCTGGATGCCCAGACACCGACCTGGATGCCTAGACACCCTCTTGGATACCCAGACAAGCACCTGGATGCCCAGACTCTACCTGGATCTCCAGACACCCACTTGGATGTTCAGACACTCACCTGGATGCCTTGACATCCAGCTAGATGCCCAGACATCCACCTGGACGCCCAGACACCCACCTGTATGCCTAGACACCGACCTGGATGCTCAGCCACTGACCTGAATGACCAGACACTTACCTGGATGCCCAGACACCCACCTGGATGCCAAGACACCGACCTGGATGCCCAGACACTGACTTGAATGACCAGACACTTACCTGGATGCCCTGACAACCACCTGGATGCCAAGACACCCACCTGGATGCCCAGACACCCTCCTGGATACCCAGACAAGCACCTGGATGCCCAGACACCACCAGGATGTCCAGACACCCACTTGGATGTTCAGACACTCACCTGAATGCCCAGACATCCACCTAGATGCCCAGACATCCACCTGGATGCCCAGACACCCACCTGTATGCCCAGACACCGACCTGGATGCCCAGACACCGACCTGGATGCCCAGACACTTACCTGGATGCCCAGACACCCACCTGGATGCCAAGACACCCACCTGGATGCCCAGACACCCACCTGGATGCCCAGATACCCACCTGGATACCCAGACACCCTACTGGATGCCCAGAGGGCAAATGGATGCCCAGACACCCTCCTGGATACCCAGACAAGCACCTGGATACCCAGACACCCACCTATATACCCAGACACCAACCTGGATTCCCAGACACCCACCTGGATTTCCAGATACCCACCTTGATGCCCAGACACCCTACTGGATGCCCAGAATGCGAATGGATGCCCAGACATCCACCTGGATGCTCAGACACCACCTGGATGCCCAGACACCCACTGGTATGCCCAGACACTCACCTGGATGCCCGGACATCCACCTTGATGCCCAGACACCCACCTGGATGCCAGACACCCACCTGGATTCCCAGACACCCACCTGGATTCCCAGACACCCACGTGGATGCACAGACACCCACCTGGATGCGGAGACACCCACCTGCATGCCCAGACACCCACCTGGATGTCCAGACACCCACCTGGATGCCCAGACACCCATTTCGATACCCAGACACCCTCCTGGATGACCAGCCACCCACCTGGATTTCAAGACACCCTTCTGGATGCCCAGACACTCAGCTATTTGTCACCGTCGTTACACATACTAACCTTACACTGGTAACAAGTGCCACAGTAGAAGTGGTTCTCCACAGCTACCCGCTGTCCCACCTGCACCTCCTTCACCTGTGATCCCACTTCCACCACCTGCCCTGTCGCCTCGTGACCTAGTGGAGAATTGGGGTAAGAAAAGTCTTGGTAGTTATAGAAACATGAACAAATGAACTGAACAATGGAACAGCTGAAACGATCCTAGGTGAGAAAAATTTCTCTAAAATAAAGAAGTTAATTAAAATTACACAAATGCAACTAATGTGACATTTTTTGTGGCAACGTTTCGCTCTCCAGGAACTTTATCAAGCTGTTACACTGGATGCCTAGACACCCTCTTGGATACCCAGACAAGCACCTGGATGCCCAGACTCTACCTGGATCTCCAGACACCCACTTGGATGTTCAGACACTCACCTGGATGCCTTGACACCCACCAACTACCCACACCCGCCCACATACACAAAAAAACACTTCGCACACAAATGCGCCCACACACACACAGGCCAGGAGCTGTGACTCGACCCCTGCAAGCATATATTCGTGAGTATGGGTGAGTGCACACACCTGTAACCACATACAGATGAGTACATATATGTTATTACACACGTCAACACTGACCTGGGATGAAGGGAAGTCTGCCTCGGACACGAGCCATGTCATTCCATTTCCACAGGTTCATGTCCGAACCCGCAGATGGACACCTGAAATGTCAGTGACGTTCAGATGACTTGCGGAGACCTAACATAAAATGAAAATCATGATTTATTTGGCTTAAAAAATGATTTGTTTGGGGTCTAGATTACCTTTGAAGCCTGAGATCTAGAACAAAAAAAATAATTAGGCTTAAAAATATATTACATTATCTCCAATCACATCATTACAAAATATTCAGTAATCAGAAAGTCGGTATGATGCACAACATTTTGGACAAAATTTAGTTTAAGAGCTACAAATTTATTTATAAACATATAAAATAATATAATTTAATATAAGTTAACCGATTATTTTAGCAGATATGCATTTAGAAGTGCAAAGATTATTGAAACATTCTTGGTACAACAGTTATGTCTAAATGAAGAGGATTAAAACCTATCGTGCATTATACGGGAGGAAAAAAATAATGGAGACAAGTACAGGAGGATGAATTAAAATGAAAACTCAGCAAGTAGGTTTTAAAATGTATTTGAACACAGAATATTGCTGTCATGAATCACATTAAGGAAAAGATGTGCATTTCAACATTAGCTTTGGAGAATTTGGCAGATAGGGAACCTTTGGAATTTTCTGACACAGACTTCCAAATTGTTGGGCTTACTAGTCCTGAAAAGATTGATGGACTGATCACATCGACTCCTGATCTTCAGCCATTCTTCTCTGTATTGGACTGAGGAAGCCATTGGTTGGTTAAAAGTTTTCCACAATAAAAATCCTTAAGTGTTGCACAAGTGCCTAATTCATAATCATGTCAGTTCTTTGAACCATTTATCTACACTCAATTTTTACTCAGGTTGATTCAGGCACGAGGGAATATCAAAGAGGTTTTTGTAACTTGTACTATACCTGTCACTCAAGGTAATCTCTCTATTATCGTTTATAAACTAGAGTGATTAGAATTATCCATGAATTATCTAATTTGTTTTCCTTAATTTGAAACTATATACCGAAAACACACACGGGTCATTCCACAAACATTGAAAGATTTTGGTTACATAATACAAATACACTTTACCAAAACAAAAAATGAAAGCTATACCCTCCTGCAAGTGGCGAAATTATATATCAGAATCCCAACTCTTCACTAAACTCGAGACACTAGCATAAATCCCAACTCTCCACTAAACTCGAGACACTAGCATAAATCCCAACTCTTCACTAAACTCGAGACACTAGCATAAATCCCAACTCTTCACTAAACTCGAGACACTAGCATAAATCCCAACTCTTCACTAAACTCGAGACACTAGCATAAATCCCAACTCTTCACTAAACTCGAGACACTAGCATAAATCCCAACTCTTCACTAAACTCGAGACACTAGCATAAATCCCAACTCTTCACTAAACTCGAGACACTAGCATAAATCCCAACTCTTCACTAAACTCGAGACACTAGCATAAATCCCAACTCTTCACTAAACTCGAGACACTAGCATAAATCCCAAACTCTTCACTAAACTCGAGACACTAGCATAAATCCCAACTCTTCGCTAAACTCGAGACACTAGCATAAATCCCAACTCTTCACTAAACTCGAGACACTAGCATAAATCCCAACTCTTCGCTAAACTCGAGACACTAGCATGGATCCTAACTCCTCACTAAACTAGAGAAACTAAGCTTCACAGTTTATCAGCTACAGTCGCATTACAACAAAGTCATCCTAAACAGATACTTCACGGAACCAAACAACTCTGATCGCGGGTTCTAACCCCACCAGTGGTATGGTTTAATATATACACTAATACAAAATACTCATACCACTAGGCGCACACAAAAATACACATTATATATTAGCGCTGACGCCTAAACTTCAATATTTTTATAGATTCAAATCTGCATCTACACATTTGAATTTCACTCTTCACTGTCGTCGAATTTTTGGGCAAGTTGTCTGAACGTTTGAATCTGTGACACTGACGATTTTGGAAAGTTTCCGAACCATTCCAAGATGCTAGGAATGAATTCAACAACTTGGACCTGCCAATTTTCGCAAGGATTTGTGTTCTCGTTACCATACATATTGTTTTAAATTTGAAGTCAATTGGGTGAGGCGCTCTCGAGTAATGAGCAAAATATCACAAAGATGGAGGAACAAAAAAAAGAAAAAAGACAAAAAAAATGCTTGAACTAATTAAAACAATAAAAATCTTAGGCAGGATCCTAAATGACCAAGATTTAGTTCCCTCTGACCTAAGTTACGCGCATTTTTATGACTAATTATACATCATGTGCTGTTGAACTTACCCTTTCAACTTTGATGATGACCTCGTCTGGCCCCGGGGTAGGCACTGGACGGGTCACCAGGTCAAATCCCTCCTCCTCATTCTGCTTCACCAAGCACATCATTTCCTTGGATAGCGACATCCTGAGCCAGCAGGGAAGGATTTCGAAGGAATCTATGGAAAGGTAAGGATCGAGGAAGAGAGGACAGAGGGAAATGAGATATGGGTACAACGTTAATTAACATTAGGGCTTTTGTTATAAAACCATCATAAGAAGTCAGCTTGTTTAATGAATCAACTAGAGTTAGCTAGTGTGTGTTACACAAATATATATATATATTATATATATATATATATATATATATATATATATATATTATATATATATATATATATATTATATATATATATATATATATATGCAATAAGATCACAGTAAACAGGTGATTTAAAATATGCAAAGGACCTATCCAAGTTGGCTCGTCGCGCGTCACGTGTTTAACCGTTGTGGGATCTGATAGTGAGGTGCTGGTCGGACCCCTTATATAGCTTCCTTGGATGCTTCACTTTCATAGTTCCTTGATAATGTGAGTAGTCACGAAAGCGCTTGGAATTTCTCTATTCTTTCAGAGTGGTTGTTTTGCATATATATATATATATATATATATATATATATATATATATATATATATATATATTATATATATTATATATATTATATATATATATAAATATATATATATATATATATATATATATATATATATATATATATATATTATATATATATATATATATATTATATATATATATATGTCGTGCCGAATATGTAAAACTGGTCAATTAGCAAGAACTCATTTAAAATTAAGTCCTTTCCAAAATTTTCTCTTGTACGTTTAAAGATATATTTTTTTCATCAATGTTAATGTAAAAATTTTTAATTTTGCACCAGAAGGAACTTAGAAAACTTACCTAACCTTATCATAACAAGAACAATTTATTTTAGCCTAACCCAACTAAATATATTTTAGATTTGTTTACAATAATTTAAGACTAAACAAACACAGTGATATATATTTTTTTCGTTAGGTTCAGAATGATTTTGGCGAAATTATTGCATACACAAATTTTCACTTGTCCTATATGGCAAGATGTGCGTTGCTATTCAAGCCAAGATCGCAAGTTCTGCCTATTCGGCACGACATATATATATATATATATATATATATATATATATATATATATATATATATATATATATATATATATATATATATATATATATATATATATATATATGTTATTGCTGTTCTTACTGTTGAACAGCGGTTTAGTGCCGATGAAGGTAGCGCAGGTAGCAATGATACGGCCGTTGACTAGTTTGGCTTTAATTGGGTAGGAGTGAGTACACAACGGGCAGTGTGAGGGAGTGACCGCAAGCCAGTCCGTGGAGGCGGAGCACCTGTGTCTGTCACGTCGGTCGGTCTAGGAAATGAGGAGAGGTGGGCTGTGGCTCCCACCGACCTAGGTAGGACCTACAGAGGGCAGCACTGAATGCCGAGCGAAATAAACTAGTCAGAGCAGACGCTAGCTGTGGTGCTCTGACAGTACAAGGCTGTCTAACATTTGCTCGGCCACGCACCTCGCTCGTCCCGACGCGACAAGTACTGGTGGGACTGGTGGGCCCATAGGGATATAAAGGAATTACACAATGCTTCCTCCAGAGAGGGACTCTGGCTTTCGCTCACTAGTAAATCAAAAATGGACAAAAAAAATGCAACAGGCAAAAAAAAACTTCTCCCAACCAGGGGAAAGAGAACTGGTTTGCCCGCGCTGGTTTTCATCGAGTAGAAGAGCCGAGCGACGTCAGCACTGGAACTAAAATCTTCTAAAACAGGTGTCCGCAGGGCTGAACATAGTCGGACCACCGTCTACGAACGTTGTTGGCTACGCTCACATCTGCAAACAATGACTGACAGTAGCATTTCCTAAAGGTGTGACATATAAAACTCAGAAGGCAAGCAACTTGCCCTGGACCGTAATACAGGCATTTTTTTTCTTTGTTATAAAACACTGTGCACAATTATGTACAATAATACTATATCCAGGAATTCATTACATCTCGGGTACCCTTCTAAAAGTATTAACATAATTACATGATGTTTGTCCCACCCTGACTCTATTAAAGCGACTAGCTATACAATGTGTGTGGCATTTATAACCCATTTCTGCAAGCAAACAATTAGCATAACTTAGCGAAGGAGTCAGACAAGTCAGTAGGTACGATCAATGTCACACAAAATGTACTGTTGTCCTGGGTCGCAGGCCATAAGTATGGAGCCTTAACTGGCCGTCTTCCGTACCAGTAGCAGTGGGAGAAGGGATAACGGTTTGTCCCCTAACATTAGTCTGATCGTGGCGTTGCAACGCACGCCCTCCAGCTCTGCTTCGGGCTGCATATATGGTCCACATACTCATGTGATAAGGTGGGCCTCCTTGATAGTTCCCGTAGCACTCTCCCCACCTCGAACTTATTGGCCACGGAGCTGTCCCCCCCCCTAGGACACGGTAAGTGACCACACAAACTTTTGGGACAATTTGTGCATACCTGGGGTCTGCACTGGGTTGAGCAACATAACTTGGCAACCTGGTTCCACTTTTGCTTTCCTTGGCGCGGCATTGCGCTCAACTGAACCTATCAAGTAGCTTTCATAAGTTCTTCGTACCCGCTGGAAGACAAGCTGCATTGTCCTCATCTTTACTACACTGGGGTTACGCAGTATCGTAAGTAGGTCTAGGTGGAGTAAACAGAATTTTTCATATGGTAAGCGCTTGTCATAGCCTTACAAAGCAAAATGAGGTGTCTCACCGATCCGCTGTTGAGGGAGGACTTTAATGTACACTGAACCATACTGGGAATAGCCCATCCCATGTAGTACCACTTGGGTTAACGGTTAATCTGAGCACCTCCAGGACTTTGGCGATTTGTAACGTTCCGCAAGAAACATTACTCGCTGGGTGGCGTGGAGCTACTGGCGCTTGATGAATGTTGGAATCTGGAGCAAAGATCCTCATTATGCATTTATAAACTCGACCCATTGTCTGACAGAAGGACACTGGGCAAGTATGACGAAGAACAACTGCTCACGGAAAGGCACTAGCGACCGTTTCAGTGGTTTTATCAGGAAATGGGTTTAACTAATTCACTGACCGAGTCAAGTTATCTCCCATTACAAGCAGGTGTCCTTATTTTCCCTTCTCCGAGGTCGAGAAGTTCGTCAACAGGTCACAGAAGTTTCTCTCCCAAGGCTCCTTTTAATGGGATACTTTTAGAATGGGGTTTAGGACCTGTAATGGTACCGCTTGTGCTGTTAGCAAACAACACATGATACACTGGTGTACATGCTTTGGCAATGTCCCCGCTGCCATCTTAAGGCCAGAAATATTTCATTTCGTGCCTGTTTGATTACTGCAGTCCTTCCCGGGGTGCGCTACACCTGTGACAGTTGTGATCAACTCCAAGAGTACTGGTATCATGGACTCCTGTATCACCAAGTTGGTATACGGTTCTGCCGGGGTCCACCAGCTTCAACACGGCACAGTACTCCTTGGTTGACCACCAATCCTTCAGTGGAACGGGAGATCTTGACCTGTAAGTCAACGTCCTCCTTGGTCAGAAACGAAGGACTGTAGACCACACAGGGTCCTGTCGTTGGGCACATCTCGAGATCCTCAACAGAGATCGAATTGCCGACTCTCACGAATGCTATATGTCCCCTCGACAGGGCATCAGCTACAACATTTTGCTTACCTTGACAACAGCAAATTTCAGGTTGTAGTCATTGAACGTGAGCGATACTCACCGAGCTGCTTTCCCCCAGAGGTTCTTATTGCATAAAGGGCCAATAAGGGTAAATGATCTGTATAAATCTTGATAGGATAATGATAGGATGAATATCCCGAAAAAGACTCAGGCCCATACAATGGCTAAAGCTTCTAGCTCTGTCACTTGAATAATTGACTTCCGCTTAGTAAGAACACGCTAGCATAGGCATAGGCTGTTGCTTACCATTAGATTCCTGTGAACAAGACTGCACCGATGCCAACTTTGGCTGGCATCAGTCGTCAAGGTAAATGCCCTTGGTGAAATCAGGAATCTAAGGGTTTGGGCTGATGTTAACTTGTTCTTAAGAATGAACAAAGGCTTCGTTCCTGTCACATGTCCACTCAAAAGGGGCATCCTTCTGAAGTAAGCGGGTCAGGGTTGGCAGCAATGGTGGAGAAACCTGCGATAAAGGTGGCGGTAGAAACCCGCCAGGCCTATGAGACCGATCTGCTCTGCCGTCATGGTCTGGGGAAATTTCTGCACGCCGGAGAATTTAGACTCTCGTTCCGTCTTTAATGCCATTCGAGTCACTAATAGTGACCCAGAAATTTTATTTCCTTCCGGAGGAAATGCCATTTGGAGAGCTTTACCTTAAGATTTGCCTGAGCAAAGCCTGTCCAATACCCGTCAAGTTTCCTTCAAGATGTGAGTGACATCTTGCGACATGACTATGAGATCATCCAGGTAGACATGAGGCGTTGCCACCTAGGAGGGTAACGGACAATTGTCGTCATCAAACGACTAACAGATTGGCTACCCGCAAGCCGAAGGGCATCCTCACTGAATCTGGTACTAACCAGTTTTGGCGTAGAGAAAGCGTGTCAACTCTCGCTCCTCATCATCGAGGGGATCTGCCTTGATAACCCTTGAAGAAGATCAAGAGTTAAAAGACCTTCTATTTCGCCGATGTTCTGCCCAACAGTCGTTCAGAAACTGGCAATGGAAATCGGTCTGGGATGGTACATGCATTCAGTTTCCTGTAAATCGAATAACAGGGCTCCAGGTTCCGTCTTTCTTGGGAACAGAATAAGGAGCATTCCACGGGAATGGGACTCCTCAATAAGCTCCATCACTGAGCTACCGTGTAATGATTCTTCGGCGAAGACTCTTTGCGCATATGGCAGGCATACAAGGGTACATAAATTGGTTTAGTACCTTTGTCAAGTGGAATACGTGAGAGATCAGTGGGCAAACCCATCGACTTACACCATCTAGTGCAACTGCAGAACGTGCACGATTGAGAACCTTGGAGAAGTTTTGGGACTCTCAGGAATAGTCTGGTCAAAGC